GGGGGGGTGTTCGGTACTTTTGGTTAAACCATCTGGCAACCCTAGACGCATGGTGAGTGGGCAGCTACTCTGGGGCAGGGCTGTGTGGCTCAAACACTGAGGGGGGGAGGGGTAGAGAAGACAGAATCTGATAAAGTGAGAGCAAAATCAGCATTTCTTAGTCGTGAGTGGGACTGATTCTGCTCTCACGCAGCTGTAAAATCAGCAATAATGAGAAAACATATATGCAAATAAATGTTTACCCCTTTAAAAAAGAACAGATGCGCACAAAGTAACATTTTGCGAGCTGTGTTATTACAGCTCTAGTTTTGGAGCTCACTCCGTAAATTTATATTCTGATGCATTCAAAATGGAATCACTGTTTTGAACTGTCCTTGAAGACTGAAGTGTAGGGTTTTTACAGTTGTTGGTGGTATGCTTAATGTACTTGATATTAACTTCAGTCTCCCATACTTATACTGGAATAAAAGAATCTTTAAAAATGGAAGGAAAAAGATTTGCTGTAGTACTCCTAAACAGTGGAATATGGAAAATCTAAACATTCTTCAGCACTGCACAAAGCAAAGCCACTTTCCATCTAAAATATGCATCTCTGTATTACTCTTGGCTTTAAAAAAAAGTTCTGGGGTGAGAGTAAAGGTCGTCTGATTTTTTTTGAAGCAGAAATGAGAAGTTGCTGGTTGTGCTTCTAATAGTAACAATAACAGCGCAGGCAGGAGGCATTCTGGGCAACTCTTCCTTTGTATTCCTCCTTGAAACATTATTAATCTGAAATTATTACTTGCTTGGTCTCTGTGACACTATTGACAGTGACTTTTTACTACTACATGCACGTAAAACTGTTGTCAAATGCATTCTTCATCTCCCAGTACTGGTACAAACATTATTTACCAGCTTACTATAAGCTTCTTGTGCTTTTGCCATAACTTACAGATGTCATTAATAGCCCCCATCTCTACCCCCATTTCTGGTTACTCTTCCCAATACAGTCCAGAAGACACATTCCACTTTCCTCTAGATATAGTAAGTAAAAAGTCCTATATTACAGTGGTTCCCAGCTGCTGGGACATGGCCTGCTGCCAGGTTGTGGACCCCTGGCTGCCAGGCCCCGGGC